TGAAGCCTTTTCCAGTAGTAGATACAGCCACAAGGCAGTGGAGGTTTGTAATCAGAGTTTCCCTTCTTCTAGAAGATGGTTTTGCCATTTTATCTGCCGTTGGGGCATAAAGCTTTCTTCTGCCATCAAAAACCATTGACCCCCTTCTCCTGTAACCCTGGAAAGGGGTCCTTATGAGGTTCTACCAGCCAGGCCAGCTGGTTTTTTTTAAGAGGTATTACTCCTCTAGCACTCCTCCTCACTCCAGGACTTCTGCTTCAGGTTTTGCCTCGAGGTTAACTCCTGAAGACTTTCCCATAGATTGGTATAGCCACAAGGCAGTGGAGATTTGAGATCGGAGTTTCCCTTGTCCTATATAAGTTGCCTTCCAAGGCTAGCAGACACCATCTAACTGGTTCTTCCCACGCACACAGCTAACAAGACTTCCCACTTACACTCAATCAAACAGCCACTCTCCCCTCCCCTTAGAAACAAGCAGATTCATTCATGAGGTGAACTGGAGCACCTTCCTCCCTGCAGTCACATTATTCACTCACTCAAACAGGCACCCCCCCGCTCCCTAAAAACAAGCAGATTTACCCATGAGGAGAGCTGGAGAACTTTCCTCCCTGCAGTCACATGATTCACTCACTCAAAGAGACACTCCCCTTCCCCCCTAAAACAAACAGATTTACCCATGAGGAGAGCTGGAGAACTTTCCTCCCTGCAGTCACATGATTCACTCACTCAAACAGACACTCCCCTTCCCCCTAAAAACAAGCAGATTTACCCATGAGGAGAGCTAGAGAACTTATTTAATGGTGTGGTGTATATGCAACATTCCATGCCCACCTATTTTTCAGTAGCCTGTCAATGACACTGTGTGGATGAAGGACATAATTCATTATCATTATTTTTCTGATTTTCTTATCTGGGACTTCTAGTTCCACTTGAGTTCAGTGCATCTAATGACTGGAATTGTCTAGGTGTTATATGTATTTTTTCACAAAAGTTGGACTTTTAAGATTTTCTTCACTCTTGTGATGTATTCTGCACTTTGGTATGGCTAATGTTTTCAATTTGAAGGTTGCCTTGGTATTTGTAGGGATATTCTTCCTCTCGACTCTTGATATTATTTCTATCTCCTCCCTCCGCATTGCAAAAATGTCAGGTGGCAGGATGTGAAATGATGATAGCAGGATGGCAACCATGATAGGTAGCCTCACAGATATTTTTTTACATTTGATAGCCCTAGTCTGACTTATTTAGTATTGCTGACAGAACAATCAGTACTGTGACAAATAGTAAAAATAGTAATATTTAGAATGAATCTCCTTAAAAGATTCCTCTCTTAATATTAACCTCTTCCAACTGTGCCTTCCACTGTGCCATTGATCTTTGCACAAAGCTTCTGATGTTTATATAGACTCCCGTTATTTTGAGGCACTTATACAATGTGCCAGAGAATCAAATTCCTTTTTATATTTAATCCAACCTACATTCAAATTGGTCTCTCTTCTCTTGCATATTTCCAAAAGCATATTGTGAAGTAGGAGCTGATCTTTTGTTCTTCTGCTGTTTGGGTGGTTTCCTTTCTGTTCCGGTAAAAATAGCTTGATTTTAGCTGGTTGCTGCTGAACTGCATCAGCTACCACACCAGTTAGCAATTGGAAAGTTTTTGATAAACAGGCAACTGGCCTGTATTATTTGCGGCTGCCCCTTTTGCTGGATTTTTCATTATTAGGTAGTTTTGCAAGGTAGTAACCAATCTTCAATTTCACCTCCTTGCAGTATATAGTTAAACTGCTTGCCAATGAGTGGGAGTAGACCAGTCAAATGGTGCTGACCACTCCTTGATCTTCCTTGCCATTTTTTCCACCATTTCTGTTATTACAAGTTTTTTTTTTCATTTCAGCATCTTTTCTGTTCTTATCCATCTCCTTGATGCAAACTGTAATTTAACTTTCATATGATGTTTCCTCACTGTATAGAAGCAAATATGTGAACTAATATACAAGAAATATAATATTAGATCCAGTGATTTAATTGAAATTTAAGTGAAATTTCAGCAAGGAGAAAATATTCCTTGTAGGAGTTCTTCAAAATAAACACAATTCAACAAAATTTGAATTCTTGTATGTCTCCACAGTTTTGGTTCCAATTGTTAATGGGGGCAGTTGTTATTAATTACAAATAGTGAACTCATGACCAATAAGGTAAAGGTTCCCCTCGCACAAGTGTGCTAGTCGTTCCTAACTCTAGGGGGCGGTGCTCATCTCTGTTTCAAAGCCAAAGAGCCAGCGCTGTCTGAAGACGTCTCTGTGGTTATGTGGCCGGCATGACTAAACGCCAAAGGTGCACGAAATGCTGTTACCTTCCCATCAAAGGTGGTCCCTATTTTTCTACTTGCATTTTTTTACGTGCTTCCAAATTGCTAGGTTGGCAGAAGCTGGGACAAGTAACAGGAGCTCACCCCATTACATGGCACTAGGGATTCAAACTGCCGAACTGTCTACCTTTCGATCGACAAGCTTAGCATCTTAGCCACTGAGCCACCGCGTCCCTCTAATGACCAACATGACCAATAAAAGGGCATAATTTCACACCATTCAGAATTGATATTCTTTATCACAGCTAAGATAAAGAAATGCAACATTCTTCCTTATCCATTTTTCCATGTGATATACAAAGTCTTAGTGCTCTGAGCTGGTTTGAGGACTGACAGATCATATACTTTCTTGTTGCATGGTTTTAAAAGATTTTAGAATTGGAGATTACTAGGTATGTTAGAAACAGGGAAGATGGAAGGAACAGAGAAGTTGTGAGAATGTTCTTGTGAAGCATCAGCTTTAGATTAGCCTGAGCCCGAGTTCCTCCAATTTATTTTTATTTATTTTATCACATTTTGAAATTATCCATCCGTCTCACAATGGGAGAGATCTTCCACTCTTTATCAAAAAGAAAAAGTTGAAAAACAACATATGTTTTTTGAGGAAAAGACTTCAACTGGTAGTTTCTTTAAGATAGCAGAAAGATGTTACTAAACAAGCATATCTTTAAGCTTATTGACGAATGATTTATAACTCCTGCAATCTTGTGATTATTGTTGAAACTATTGTTGAAACTGTATACAAAATTGTATATGAGCAGCCCTATCTCATTGAGTACTGGTGCTTGATTTTGGTTTCTATCCCACTCACATCTTTCCTCTGCACAAAATAAACATTTGCATTCTCTACTCTGTGTGCATTGATTGGCTATTTGCACGCTGGCACATTTCAGGGATAACAACAAGAGGAATATACTAACATATTTCAAGAATGTCATAAAATAAGGAAACTCCTAGGTCCGTGATGGCGAACCTATGGCACGTGTGCCACAGGTGGCACGCGGAGCCATATTAGTGGCCATGACAGCTCAGCTCTGGGACGCATGCCCGCGCCGGCCAGCTGATTTTCGGGCCTTCTGGGCCCACCAGAAGTAGGGAAACAGGCTGTTTCCTGCCTCTGGAGGGCCTGGGGGGGGTGGGGAAGGCCCGTTTTTCTTTCTTACCTGGCTCCAGATCCTCTCTGTGTATCTGGGAACAGCGAAAATAGCCTTTCCCACTCCCTTGGAGGCCCTACGGAGGCTGAAAGGGCCCATTTCCCAACTCCCGGTGGGACATGAAGTGACATTTTTTGTTGTCCCAGCCTCCAGAACCTCTCTAGGAGCCTCTCTAGGAGTCTCTAGGAGCCTCTCTAGGAGTCTCTAGGAGCCTTTCTAGGAGTCTCTGGAGGCTGGGGACAGGAAAAAAGTCACTTCCTGTACCACCGGGAGTGGGGAAATGGGCCCTTTCAGCCTCCGTAGGGCCTCCAAGGGAGTGGGAAAGGCTGTTTTCGCAGTTCCCAGATACACAGAGAGGATTTGGAACCAGGTAAGAAAGAAAAACGGGCCTATCAGGCCATCATGTGCCAGGAGCGAGGGGGAGGGGGTTGCACACACATGCGCGTGGGCACGTGCGCGCATGACCCTCCCCGCCCCCCCCTCTCCTGGCACGCGATGGCAAAAAGGTTAGCCATCACTGTCCTAGGTGATTGTGTTGTAAGTGGTTCCTGTTATCAAATTATCTCAGGCTGATGACTTTGAATGGCATAAAAGGCAGTAAATATTTATTTAATTCAGTTTTAATATTTTGGGGTTTAAGGGAGGGAGTATATCTTTTAAGAAACAAAAATATCTCCCATAACTGCTATATATTTTGATTTGGCATGTTGTGTCCCTTTGTTACTTATGTTCATTAAGCCTTCCCTAACTATTTCGTTGAAGGAAAAAGAATACAAACCCTTAACCTTTTCACTAAGAATCTATTTTCCATGCAAAAGGAGAGACTGTCTTGCTTACAACAGATCTACCTTGAAAGAAAGAAATGTTTCTGCTGTGAATACAATAATACTGCGGAAATACTGAATTCACATGGAGTAATACAGCATTTACTCCAATTGAGATGCTATTTTTTGAAAGAAAAATGGGGTTTTCTCAGTCTTTAAAAGATTACATTAAAAAGAAGTTTCAATAGAAACATCTTTCTTGCACCTGCAAAATCAGTCACATCTGCTAAAATCCCAACTACTATATAATTACAGAGAAGACATAATTATATTAATTTGGCATTTATATATGCCTAAGCTTTCCCATTCTTATTTATTTGTAGCAGGAAAGAAAACTTTTTCAGAAATATATATTTTCACATTATAGTGGTTAATAATTAAATCCTCTGGAATATTTTCCAGCAGAGGATAGTAGGTTAAGACAATCTGACTCCTAGGGATTAAATCCTAGTAATTATAAATAAGAATTTTTCTGCAAACCTACTTCTTTCAAGTATCACAGACCTTATCTGAATATATTGTTTTAAAATATATTTTCTTTCCTAATCATTTTGCTCTACAAATGGTTAATTATTCTATATTTTCAGATTTCATCTAGCAGTTTCAAGGGATTTGTCTTTCAACTTGCAATAAAATAATTATTTTTTTTCCTAGCTGGTGTTTTGATGGCTATCATGAGTTCTTCAAGCTCGTCAAATCAAGACAGCTGCTCCGAACCTCTTCTTTCAAGATGGCTGCTGCACGATAAGAGTTTTGTTTTCTCTTACCGACAATCTGCTGATTTCACGGCTAAAGCTGGTTCTTTGGCAGTGCTGTTCCCTGGTTCAGAATGGAAATATATAGGAGTGACCCAAGATGACTTTTGGATGATCATGGACCCAATCGGCAAGTTTTTTTTTTTTTAAGATTCCAATTTCCTCTGGAAGCAATTGAAAAGTCATTGGACGTATCTGTCTTCCTGTTAAATAGTTTGTTTTCTAAGCACGCCGAAATTTTAACTTTTACTTTTTGACTTCATTGCTTTATTTTGCTTATTGTTTTAAAAGTTGATTAATGATTGGGTGCTGATTTATTTCAATCCTTTGCTGGACTCTAATTGTTTTTTCTCTTTTTTCTGTTGATATATGTTGTTCTGGATAATCTCTGTCCCTTCTGTATCGAAAGCATGGCAATGTTCAGGATGGTGGCAAAGAGTTCCCACTCTCACCACTGGATTTTGTACTTTTTGAATTTGCAAAACACGTGGACTTTATTTCCATTGAACGTTTCTTATAATCTTGGATTAAAATATAAAGGCAAACATATTTTTTTTTATTCTTTGTCCCTGGCTAAATTTCACAGATTAAGATGACTGAACAATCTCTGAAAACTAAGAAAAGAAAGTGGGGAGATGTGCAGCTTCTAGCTCTCTCGAAAGCTTAATCAAACTATAATAACTAAAAGAATGTTAAAATTTGAAGCTTTATTTTTGGGTGTGGATGAAGATATACAAAAGGACTTTGTTCCAGTTCCAGATCAAAGAGATAGTTTCACAACTGGAGAACCAGCAAAGTGGATTTCATCTGCTGTTATGAAGTTTAACCTGCATATTCTTTCAACATTATGGTTTTGATTAGAAAGGAAATGGGCAGATTACACATCACTAGGAAGTCTGAGGAAGACTGGACAGATTTATTACAGTTAATTGGCAATTACTTCTGCTTGCACTTTGATTGGAAGATAGATGTATTTTGGAGACTGAATTTAATTTTGTTTAATATTTAATTAAACAATTGACTAGAGATGATGTGAAGAAACAAGCATGGATATATGATCCAAGATTATTTATTTATAACATTTGGAATGATTTAGGAGCTGTGGTAGCGCAGTGGTTAGATTAAAGTATTTCAGGCTAACTCACTGCTCACTGCCAGGAGGTTGATTCTGACCGGTTCAAGGTTGACTCAGCCTTCCATTGTTCTGAGGTTGGTAAAATGAAGACCCAGATTGTTAAGGGCAATATACTGACTAAGTAAACCACTTAGTGAGGGCTGTAAAGCACTATGAAGCTGTATATAAGTCTAAGTGCTATTGCTATTGCTATTTGGGATAGATAAGATGTGGTAAATTTTCTATCACTGGATTACAATAACAGCTTGTTAACAGAGAGTTTTGAAACTTTAATTTTAATTTGTTTCACTAATATTGTTTTTCCTGTTAATTACTTAGTGATTAATATAACATATAGAAGACAGGTCAAAAAGCTGCAAATAGATTCAGTAGTTTAAAATTTTTTGGAGGGCTTCTTTTACAAGGGGTGGGAACCAATGTTGTAGTAATATATTAATCAGTATTCAATTAGAGGGGATAATATATGTATAATGTCTTTTTTAATGTACCTTTTTATTGTTGATTGTTTTGTTTTTTGTGCTTTTTTTTCTTTTTGTCCTTTTGGATTTTTTTTTTTTTTTAGTTCTGTATTGTGTATTTTAACTTTGGTTTGAATAAAATAAATATATATTATAATTTTAAAAAGCAGCTGTTCCATATATCCTTTAACAATTCTTAAACTAAACCTCAGAAGCAAGAACTAGTGATTATATAACTATTTTTTTATTTTTAAACCTTTAGTTTAATTTTATATCACCAGTACTATTTCTTCAAATAATTACCTTATTTATTTAAGAACATTTATATCTGTTTCTATTGATTTATAACATAACAGATGTTAATTAATCATTCTTTAAAACAAAATCTCATACATTACTACTGGTTGTTCATTTCTTCTTTTATTTATTAGCAATGGCATTACAAATTATTTAAACTACAGGCTGAAGCACATAAATTCTGTAAAGGACTAGGGACATCCTGGTGAGTTCCAATTGTGTACTATCCCAATGTAGCCCAGTAACTGCCTCCATGAACTATTTGACTTTTTGTTGAAGTCATGACTAATACTCTTAGGCTCTGCATAATAGATTCTATAAATTTTAAATTCTTAAATTGATTGGTTGCAGCAGAGGGGTCGGGAAAGGAAACTTATCCGGGGAACAGGGGGGCAACAGGAAGGGCAATGAAATTGAAATAATGAGTGGGAGGGGCAGGTATGACGGGCGCAGGGGGCCATATCATGTGTCGGGGGTTGCACACACGCTGTTTATGAGCAATTGCGCACTCCGGCCCCCAATGTGCGACTCGTGGCCTGGGTTGTGCAGAGTCTCAGGCCCAGGGTCCGCGGCTGATGTTGTGTAATGCCAGGTCGGTTGTTAATAAAGCCCCCCTCATTTGTGATCTTATTTTGGAGGGGGTGCGGACCTGGCAGGTATTACGGAGACCTGGTTGGGCCAAGAGGGGGGGGTCCCCCTTGTCAAAATGTGCCCACCAGGTTTCCGTGCATTTCATCAGCCAAGGGCCCAGGGGAGGGGTGGCGGAGTGGTGGTGATTATTAGGGAAAGTCTTTGTCCGAGGGAGACCACTGTTCCTCAGATAGCCGGATGTGAGTCCCTTTTTGTGAAGTGGGGCCGTGGGGTGCAGATGGGTTTGCTGATTACGTACCTGGCTCCCTGCCACGTAGCAGCAACCCTGCCCGAGCTACTTGACGTCATTGCCGGGGTGGCGGTTGATACCCCCAGACTTATTGTCATGGGGGATTTCAACCTTCCATCCGCGGGTGAGGCGTCAGAGGTGGCTCGGGAGTTCATGGCTTCCATGATGGCCATGGACCTGACCCAGTTAGTTCAAGGCCCCACTCACATAGAGGGACACACTCTGGACTTGATTTTCATCTCTGGTCAGTGGTTGAATGATCTTGGTAGAGGGGACTTAGATATTAAACCCTTGTCATGGACAGATCATTCGCTCCTTCACTTGGACTTTCCTACTGCTTCCCCCTGCCGCAGGGAGACGGAACCGACCAAATGGTTCCGTCCCAGGCGCCTGATGGATCCCGAAAGATTCCTGACGGAGCTTGGGCTGTTTCCTGAGACTCTGACACACGACTCGACTGAAGAGCTGGTGGCCGCCTGGGAGAGTGCGGCCGCCGGAGCTTTGGATCGTGTCTTGCCTCTGCGGCCTCTGACCCGATGCCGATCTCAATTGGCTCCTTGGTTCTCTGAGGAGCTGAGAGAGATGAAGCGTCGGAAAAGATGCCTAGAGAGCATTTGGAGGACTAGTCATTCTGATTCCGACTGGACACAGGTGAGGTCTTATATCAAGACCTACCTAGTGGCGATAAAAGCGGCGAAATCTAACCATTTTTCCACTCTTATCGCATCTGCAGAGAACCACCCAGCCGCCCTGTTTAGGGTGACCCACTCCCTTCTTCGGGGGGGGAGTGCAGGAAGATCCCTTGCAGGGTCGAGCTGAGGATTTTGTGCAATTCCTGCACGATAAGGTCGCTCGGATTCGGGAAGGCTTGGACTCCAACTGGGTGAGTCCAGGGGAGGAGACGAGGGTAGGTCTTGAGAATATTACCTGGGAGGAGTTTGATCCTGTGGCTCCCGAGGATGTGGACAGGGTTCTGGGTAGGATTAGTGCCGCCACATGTTTATTGGACCCGTGTCCCTCCTGGTTGGTACTGGCCTCCCGGGAGGTTACACGAGGCTGGCTCCAGGGGATTATAACTGCTTCTCTGAGTGAGGGTGCCTTTCCCGCCGCCTTGAAAGAGGCGGTGGAGAGGCCCCTCCTCAAGAAGCCTTCCCTGGACCCGGCTGAATTAGCTAACTACCACTTCGTTTTGTGGTGAAGGTTGTTGAGAGTGTGGTGGCACGACAACTGCCCAGGCACCTGGATGAAGCTATCTATCTAGACCCGTACCAGTCAGGCTTCAGGCAGGGGCACAGCACAGAAACGGCATTGGACGCGTTGGTGGATGATCTCTGGAGGGCTCGGGACAGGGGTTGCTCCTCTGTCCTAGTCCTATTAGATCTCTCAGCGGCTTTTGATACCATCGACCATGGTATCATGCTGCGGCGGTTAAGAGGGTTAGGAATAGGGGGCACCGTTCTGCGGTGGTTCTCCTCCTTCCTCTCCGACCGCTCGCAGTTTGTGTTGGCAGGGGGGCAGAGGTCGACCTCGAGGCGTCTCACATGGGGAGTGCCACAAGGGTTGGTCCTCTCGCCTCTTCTGTTCAACATTTATGTGAAGCCACTGGGTGAGATCATCCGTGGTTTTGGGGTGAAGTGTCATCTGTACGCTGATGATACTCAGCTGTACATCTCCACCCCAGACCACCCCAATGATGCCCTTGATGTGATGTCTCACTGCCTGGAGGCTGTGCGGGTCTGGATGGGGAGGAACAGGCTCAGACTCAACCCATCCAAGACCGAGTGGCTGTGGCTGCCGGCGTCCCGATATAGTCAGCAGGTGCCATCGCTGACTATTGGGGGTGAATCTTTGCCCCCCACAGAGAGGGCTCGCAATCTGGGTGTCCTTCTGGACGCATGGCTGTCTTTAGAAGAGCATATGACGGCCGTGGCCAGGGGGGCCTTTTATCAGGTTCGCCTGATCTGCCAGTTGCAGCCCTTTCTGGACTAGGACGCCTTGCGCACGGTCACTCATGCCCTTGTCACTTCCCGGCTGGACTATTGTAATGCTCTCTACATGGGGCTCCCCTTGAAGACCACTCGGAGGCTCCAACTGGTCCAGAATGCGGCCATGCGGGTGGTTATGGACGCAACTCGTTGTGCCCGCGTGACACCCCTCCTGCGCGAGCTGCACTGGCTCCCAGTGGTCTTCCGGGTGCGATTCAAGGTGTTGGTTACCACCTTCAAAGCGCTCCATGGCATAGGACCCGGGTACCTTCGAGACCGTCTTCTGCCACCAATAGCCTCCCACCGACCAGTCCGTTCCCACAGAGAGGGTCTCCTCAGGGTGCCATCAGCCAAGTTATGTCGGCTGGCGACACCCAGGGGGAGGGCCTTCTCTGTGGGAGCCCCAGCCCTGTGGAATGAACTGCCCCCGGAAATACGTAAGATCTCCGACCTCCGGGTGTGTCGCTGCGCACTGAAGACCCTGTTGTTCCGCCAGGCAGGGCTATCAACATAATAATTTTAAATTGGGGTATTTTAAATTTTTGTGGTTTTAAATTGGCCAAATCTATTTAATTATTTTAATTTTTAATCATTGTTGTGTCCTGTGTTTTTAAATTGGCTGTACACCGCCCTGAGTCCTTCGGGAGAAGGGCGGTATAGAAATAAAATTATTATTATTATTATTATTATTATTATTATTATTATTATTATTATTAAATTCATAAATTTTATGATTATTGACAGTCTCCAATATACACAATTTGGATAAGATTGTTGACAAGTGGTTGGGTTTTAACTGTTGTTACTGTATACTGTTATAGATTAAATTCTGGATCCCTTTCAGTCTTGTTTCAGGCCTGGCATGGGGCAGAAACCCTATTGGTTCATCATGTTTAGGAACAGACTATTTATGGTAGTGTCTTTGGTTAGTTCCTTCAGTGAGTTATGCTAGGTGTATCAGTTCCATCCTTTTCTGGACCAGAAGGAAAAGGACAGTGATTAATATCTCTGTCAGCTCTTAATTATATTATTGGAATTTGCTGAAAGCAAAACTGGCATTCGAGATGACTCAGAAACTGCAACTGGCACAGATTTAAATACACTTTGTGTGGGTTGCACTGGATGTAAGCAAATCTCTGAACCCTATTCAAGCTGATAGTTATGTACTTATAATGCCTAACATAGTTTGCACCATTGTTGTCACAGGGCTTTGCCATCTATATGGTCTGTCCAGGGATGGGAAGCTGCTGGGGCTTACCTGTGAGGGGATTCATCACATTGTCCTTTGTGTAATAGTTCCATCACTATGGAACAGCTTCTAATAGCAACAGCAATAGCACTTAGACCAGTGGTGAAATCCAATTTTTTTTACTACTGGTTCTGTGGGTGTGGCTTGGTGGGCATGGTGTGGCTTGGTGGCATGGCTTGGTGGGCATGGCAGGAGAAGGATACTGCAAAAATCTCCATTCCCACCCCGCTATATGTCAGTCTATTGAAGTTCTATTAATAAACATCTCATTTTCCCAGTCCTTTTCATCTCTTTATTCCATGTCTGTTATCTTCATTTGTGGAAGGGAAAGTTTAATTTACTGCAATTATTTACTGCAATCCATCCCAATTGGGAATAGAGGCAGTTTATCTAGCAAATTAATTGAAGTAGAAGCTTGCACCAATGGATGGTTATCTAAAGCAAATACATATATTGCCAAATGCAGAATCTGCCTCCTTTTAGGAAAAAATTGAGGTCTTTCATGCTCCCAGTATCCTCCCTATCTTTATCCAGAAAGCCTTTAACATCCTGCTCTTGGTTTTAATTCAGCAGCATAACCCTAATCCTAACCCAATCATATTATCAAGTGAGGATTTATTTTCCTCCTTGAGCTGATTGACTTTTGCTCAGGGTTCCTTTCTTATCCACTTCATGATGCTTTTTAGACCCTTTGATTTTATCAATAAAGTTGAGTTTAAAGTTGAGTTTAAAGTACATACAAAATTGCATACAAAAAATTAGATGGTATTGTTTAAATGTTTACATTGTAATGCTTAGAATC